AGCCAGTATATTATTTCACTTCTAAAAAGTCTATTTATCGTAAAAAATTTACATAAATAAAAAACTGGCTACCTCTGTAGTAACATGGTCTAATCAATGAATTTTTAGGGACACACAAAAGCAATAATCCGAACTTTTTTTTTTTTCTTATCTTGGTTTTTCATTTACAAAATGTATCATTTATTTGATAATATGCAGAAAAATTGATGAAATTTTTGATTATCGTATCTAATATAATTTAGTGATTTAGATTTCGTATAATATTATTATAATTTAGATTTAGTGAAAACCCTTTTTAGTTTCTTTACCCCTGAAAATCCCGCACTTAAAAAGACAAATTTTAAAAAATTTGAAATAAATATTATTTTTTTAACTTATGCTAACTTGTTGTAGCTAAAAAATGTTTAAAATATTAAAATTGACTTTTTTTTTCAGAAAAGTAACTAAAATCCTATTTCCGCTTTGCGAAGCATAGTGCGCAAGAGCGCCAAACAGTTTCAACGTCAATTTAAACGTAAACTTTTAGCGTATAATTTACGATTAGCCCTGAAAAGATTACTACATAAAATTAAAAGCTGCTTATGAATTTAAGTCTATTATAAAATAATTTTTATGTTAAATCATTATTTAAATGACTTTTATAAAATTTTTTAATATTATTATGTTTATATTTTTTAATATTATTATGTTTATATTTTATACTTTTAGTCATATATATTTTAATGTTTTACAAATTTTTATTTTTATTCAGGGCACATATTGATAGCAGTTTTTTTATATAACTGAAATGTATATCCTGTTAAAATATTCATTTAAATGAAATAATAATAATAATAGTAATAATAATTATAATAATAATAACTATTTTAAATCACTTTGGGGAGAAGAAAGCATTTTTGGGCGTTCTGTTTTGCAAAAATAGGCAAAACTATTGTGCAAAGTTTTTCAAAACATTTTTAATTAGCATAAGCATGAACTTAATTAAATTTGGAGTTTGCCTAATGTTTTAAAGCGTATAATTTGAAACAGCTGTAAATCCTATTGGGGAACATGGAGAATTTCCACTAATATTCTCAAAAAGTTATTAAAAAATTATAAAATATATAGTACTAAAATTTTAACAATATTCCCAATCTTTGTGTTCTTTTGGTCTACAATCATATGGGCAAGTTGGGAGAACAACTTCACTATCCGGAAGATTTGCTATCATTCCAATAAATCTATATTTGTTTTTTCTTTCTGATGGAAATGGAACACTACCATTAAATTGAGAGCATAGATAAGCGTCGTGTTGCATAACATCATCACTTATCAAAGGCCATATATATTGTCCTAAAACATCTTGACCATCTCCCCAGGGTGCTTCTGTATCAAAAGTACGTTTTTTACTTTTTTCAATAACTAACTTTGCAATAGTATCACCAAGAAATGGTCTCTTTATGTTTCGAAAACACCATGTTCCTCCAAGTATATAAACCCCATGAAGGGGATGGTCTCTCATTACATGAAACAGTTTATTGCTATTTAACCATTCTCTTACAGCATCTTCTTCTCGTGGTAATAAAAGTGAGTCTATATCTCTACTGCACATTACGTCAACATTGTGATCGCCAGCAGCAAGAAACCGCCAAGTCATTCCATTTATATGTGATACATTTCCGAATTCAGGTATAAATCCCACATCATAAAAGAAAAGATTTTTGTATTTTTTTGTCAAAGAATTTTGTAGCGACATATTAAACATCTTACCATCATGGTATAATCGAACGCTCCAGCTTTTATAAAGGCTACTTTGGGAAGCAGTAGAAGCAATTTTTTCAGCAGCACTACCATACCTTTCCCAATTGTTTCCAAAAAGAGAATAAGACAATATATACGGGGACTCAACGCTTTTTGAGAAAAAATAAGTTTGTAAATCTAACTTTATTGAATGAGTTTCTAATATACTTGCATTAAATGTCTCTCTCTTGATTTTTTTTTGTTTCCGATTATATCTTATATATAAAAGTAAAAACCCTAAAGCTAACAATGTTATACGTGAATATAAAGTTTTCATATTTCTAATTGTAGACAAAAATTTTTTTTGTCTTTTAATTAAGTATGTAACAATGTAGTTGCAATATTTTAAATTGTTTCAGATAATAGTTATGATTAATGTAATAGTTATAATTACAGAAACAGATTATTTTTTGAATAAGTAATATTAGGCATACTCACGATTATTTACAAAGGAATCGTCTATAAATTACGTCACGCAGTTTTAAATATTTTTTGACCCCTCCCCCTCCCTTAGTAACGCATCCGTAAACACTTTATTGACCCTACCAATATTACGCAATAGTTTTGTACCCCTCTGCCTTCCATAAAAAAAAAAATTCTAAGTTTTTTTAGGGAGGAGGGATGGGGAGCAAAGTTTTACAAAATACAAAACGATTTTAAATATAACAATATATTTTAATAATAATTTTCTGAGCTTTTTTGAGTTAATTAATTAGTACTTTTCAGTCTGGTTATTATTTTTTTTTTCACTCCAAGTTCCGTTCCGTATAAATTTTTATAAATTAACATTGCCATTCTAAAGATTATAACAATTTTAAAAATCCATTCTTCCGATATATAATACATGCACAATATTATATATATAATATATAATAATAATATATTAAACATGCAAAAATAGTATTTTATAAATACAATTTTCTATTACATAAAAGCGTAAGCGTGGTTGAGCGGATTCTGGTTCCGGCTTTTAGACTGAGTGTTCCAGGTTCGCTTCTCGATATCTAAATTATTTTTTTTTTAAGTTAGTGCATAAAGGTTGTTTTTTTGTGCACCAACAAAATAAAATTCTGCACTTGAGCCATATAAATTCAAAGCGCAGAACATACACTGCACATACAGCCGTAACAATCCGTTAACAGGCTGTAACTACTCCGTTAACGGAGTGTACACATCGACTAAGTAAGATTTAGGCGTAGATGATTTTACAATCAATATGTAAAATATGTTCCCCCCTCGTAACAAATCGTCTACCCTCCCGCCCCCTAAGCGTGACGTAACTTATGGACGACCCCTAAGTAAACTAAAATTAATTTTTTTATTATGCTGCTTTCGCAACACTTTAAAAAAGTTGATAGATGTTACCGGCAAATTGTTTAAGTAATTCGTCGTTACTAAAATAAACACGTATTATAGCGCCTGAAAAAGCGTGCGTTATAGATGACTTTGCGTGCAGTCATTATAGATGACTTTGCATGCAGTCATTTTAGATGACGTCATTTTAGATGACTTAGCGTCACATTTTTTGAAAACAACATGCGTGCGCATACTTGTCAGCTAAAACTTGACAAGAATTCATTCTTAAGTTCATAATATAAATACACTTTATGTTTTTTCTATTTCTATTATATCCTTAAATAAAATTTTATCTTTTCTTTGAAAAATGATTGCAATAATTAGTTACATAAAAAAACTAACTATATAAATAATTAGTGACATTTGTTTATATATTGTGAAAATAAACTTTTTTTATTATTTTTATAAACTTTTATTGCTATTAAAAACTTTTATGTATATATTCTATGTTCTACTACAAATTTTATATTTAGATTGACTCGTAAAACTTCTACAAAAAAATTCTTATAAGCTTTTTCACTCCAATTACTTTTGAAAATCTTTCAAAATTTAATTACAGGGTTATTCATTCTTATAACGCATCTATTCATTTTTTTATGCGTGTTTATTCATTCTTATAAGCGTTTTAAAAAAGCAAGTTAAACAAAAAAAAAATCGTTTAAGAGATTTGTTTTGAAAAAATAATTTACTTTTTCGAAAACAAATTTTTCTTTTTTCCTGGTAAACGAGTTTAAAAGTACTTAAGACGAAGACTTTTTACATTCGATGATGGTTTATTTAATTAAGTATTAGGTCTTTGTTTAATTTTATTATTACAAATTTAAATAAATTAATCTAAGTAAATTTCTTGATTGATTAAATTATTATTTATTTAACTATTCGTTTACATTTAATTATTTATAGTTATTACTAATATATCTATGTATAAAAATTTAAAAGCCTATATATTGTTTATATTAAAATATATTAGAGATTTTATGGGTGGTTGACTCGCATACAAAAGCGCATAGGGTTAGGACTATTGTAATTGTAATGAAAACAATAACAGTAATAATAGTTATTGTTATTGTATTAACTTTTTTTAGAAACAATAACAATACTTGTGATTTACAACTACCGTAAACCGGGGTAACTTTGGCCAGCGGGGTAACTTTGGCCAGCGGGGTAACTTTGGCCATTTTTAAAAATTTTAATTAAACATCTGTAACTTTTAAACAGTTAAGTAACGATTTACTATTTTTGTTCCATTTGTAAATGAAATCTTTTTTGCTTAAATTTTGACCTGAAGTTTTTTTGCAAATGCTCTTTATTATAAGTGAAAAAGAATGAAAACTACATCTTGGTAAAACACAATCAAAAACTGTAAAACAAAATGTTGTCTGGGCGAAGATAAAAATGAAAGCAAACAACTCAGTTTTTCTTCTGTTTAAAAGACAAACGTTCAGATAAAATTAAGCGAAAAGTTTTTGGCTTAAGTAACAACATTCTGGTTTTTTTTACAGGGTGGTCAAAGTTACCACGTAGGTTTATACTCTTTTGGGGTAACTTTGGCCAAGTAAATATTATTCATTTTAAAGTAGTCTGACCGTTATTTATTATTACTAAAATATTTTTTTGAAGCATGTTGTCCAAATAATTTATTTTGAAAAACAGTTTTCAACATGAATGTATTTTATGGTTTTAAAAAAAGTATATTTTCTTGTTGTTATTGCTAAATCATAATTTTATTAACTTTAATAAAATTAAAAGTTATAGACTCTTAGTTTTAAATTTAATTGCAGGTTAATAAAATTATATAATAGTTTAATAAATTACTACATTGCAGTTTGCTTGTGTTGTTTATATTTACTTTTGTTTAAAGCATAATGCCTCATAAATATAACAAGCATATTGTTGGAAAACGTGTATACAACACTTGTTCTAATACCATTCTTTTGAAAAGGTGTATGGGTGCAGTTAATGAAGGTATGTTTATTCGTCAAGCCTCAAAAAGGTTTAGTATACCAAGAAGCACTATACATAATAAAATGAAGTCAAAGCATAAAAAATGCATTGGTGCACCAAACATATTTACTTATGACGAGGAGCAGTTATTTTTATCTAGAATCAAGGTTATGTGTGATTGGGGATTTCCATTAAATAAATTTGATGTTAAAATGTTAGTAGGTGGTTATTTAAAATTGCAAAATCGTACTGTAAAAATATTTAAAAACAATGTTCCTGGTGATGATTGGGTTTCAAGTTTTATGAAACGTTCACAGTTAACCCATAGAATTGCATCAACATTAAAAAAAAACGTGCAGATATAAACAAAGAATAATTAAAATTTATTTTGATAATATTAGACTCGAGCTTGAAGAAATTCCACTTTGGAATTATGATGAAACAAATTTGTGAAATCCAAAATCTTAGATTTAGTAAATACAATGAATACACAATTTTACTAATTAAATGACATTAGTAATGCACAACTTTGAGCTCCAAAATAGTTTTGGGAAAATATTCCTTTTTTTCAAAAAGTTATCTTCTTTATCAAAATTGGTACAAAGTTACCCCGGTTTACGGTATTGTAGTTCTGTAATACAATAACAATAAATATTGTATTGCAATTCATCTTTATAAAACAATAACAAGATCTGAAAGAATCATTTATTGTAATGACACACTACAATAACAATAAATATTGTATTGTAATTCGTCTTTGTAATACAAAAACAATATATTGTTATTGTGACAAAAAACATCATTTTAGTGTCAAAATTTAGTAAATATTTTAATAGTCATCAAATTGCCCACAAATGCAAAGTCCAGTTACTTTCGCGTTCGGCGCGTATAAATATCCCAGCGGGCACGGAACGTAAAAAAGACCTTTTAAACGTCTTTTGAACAGATTTGGACGTCTTTTCAACGTTCAAAAGACGTCTTATTTAGGTCCCGTGCCTACTGGATTAACACAATGAAAACTGGTTTTATTAAACAGTCAATGCATTGTTTTGATGCTCGATTCTTACTTGCTATTTTTTAATCTTTAAAGAATCAAAATCACTTATGTCTTTAGAGGACAAAAGTGAAACGTCTTTCCAGCCAACATAGCTCCGACACCTACAGTCGCAACTTTCAATACACCTTCCAGAACATGACACTAATGTACACACACAATCAATAATTGCTAGATTTTTTTAAACTGTTTTAGCTACTAACTTTTCCTGAGGAACTGAGAACCACCATAACATTATCAACGTAGTCAAAAAGATTAAAAATTAAATTTCTGCGGCTTTTTGTACCACTATGGTTTATGTATGTAGCACACAAATCTAAAGAATTCCTCATACAACTACGATTACTGTTTATAGTAGAAATAACAACAGTAAAACCTTTATTCTCTTTAATTAAAACACTAACAACCCCTTTGTTCTGTGCACTTTTAACATTTTGAACGGTCATAATGTTTGTGTAGCATATAGAGTCGGTGAAAGGTGCCTATGATGGCATAGCGCCTATCATGGCATACCGGTCATATTTTCATAAATATTGGTTATGGCAAAAAAGTGATTAGATCAACATGTCTATACTGACTTTACATTAGTTTTAGTAAAAATACGTCCCTTATGCACAAGTATTGCTTTTATAATTAACAAAAATCGATTTTGGGATGTGCTGTTGTATTTTTAATCCCTTCAGATATTTAAGATTGTGGTTTTATTATTAACTGTGCAAAAATAAAATTTTCATGCATTTTATTTCCAAGTTATGTGCATTTAGTGGAATACTTACTTTGATTTTATCTTTTGAACAAGGCAGACATAGCTTGTTTAAATGAAAATGACGACTTCATCCTATGATGGCATACTGACGAGTTTGGTGTGTTGCAATATTGACAAGCGGAAAAAACCTTTTTTTTTTCTTCATAAAAACAACAAATTTGTCAATGAAGCAAAAAGGAATTTTTACTTCGCTAAAAAATTTTTAGTTCAAAAAACACATAAAGCGCACTTTATCTTATTCGTACGCGCAAAATTCCACACTGCTGCTGTGTAGCACAAAAGGGTTAACTAGGATGATTAAGCGTAATTTCTGGCATTTCTGAGGGAAGAATCTAAGGTTAAATGAAATCGTCGAGTTACCCTTGATGCTAACCAGCCCTATCCTCCTCTACGCCATCATAGGAGCAGTAGTTGCCTATGATGGCATACTTGTGCTTTTTTTTAAATTAAAAAAAAAAAATATAAAACTGATAAAAACTCCTAGAGTTATTATTGTTCTACATGAAGCCAAGAGTATATCCATATCAAAACTTTTTTTTCTTGGTCTTCAGAACACTGAATGAAGAAGCTTCAAAGTTAAGTATGCCATCATAGGCGCCTTTTCCCTTGTGCTTGCTATCTTCAAGTGTTTTAATCTGTAAACAAAATAAATAAATTAAAAACTACACTCTTTTTATTTGCTACGGATTAGTTATCATAAGAACACTTGCAAACGTATGGCTAACGTAATAGTACCAATAAAATACCACAATGAGCGGAAACTAAAAACCAAGTGGGATAAAAGACGTCGAAAAGACGTCTTTAAAAGTCTTGTTTACGATGTCTTTAAGACATCTTTTTTTTATTCGATTATGTAAATCTAAAAGAGCAACCATGGCGCTGTGGTAGCGCACTTGCCTCAGAAACGTAAGATCCGTGGTTCAAACCCCACCTCTGAGCAAGTTTTGCGAGATCGGTTGGGAAGGAGGCGTGAACTTCCTATTAAATGCTCTTCCGCTGTGTTCTGTGATAAGACCGTACCCGAGAAAAAAAAACCCGCTAATACTACTAGGAATATGTTTAACTTCCTGCTAATCCTGTTAAGTTCCTGCTAATACGGCTAATCCTGGTAATTTTTCGCTTAATACGGCTAAGCCTATTAAGTTTCCCATTAGTGAAATGACGTTTATGAACTTCCTGCTAATCCTAGTAAGTTCCTACTAAGTACTTATCAGGATTAAACGAATTACTTAGTAAGTTGTGAGAATTACTTAGTAAGTAGCTGTGACTGTTCCTAAGTGCTTCAAAAACTCTTATTCTTCTAGTTTTTTTTCTCGAACATCAGTTCTTTGGAATTCGCTTCCTTCATCTTGCTTTCCTGATTCATATAATTTGCAATCTTTTAAGTCATCAGTCAATCGTCATCTTGCTCTACAGATTTAGTCTTTTCTCTTCCAGTAACTTCCAACTCTTATAGTGGTTGCTTGCAGCCTTGTTGGAAGTGAAGATGTTAAAAAAAAAAAAAAAAAAAAAGTTCCTAGTAAGTTTTCAAAAATAAAACAAGTATAAAAAATCGTCTTTGTTATACGCCATCTTTTATTTATTCACACGGAAGACAAGTCAGCCATAAAACAGCTTTTTTAGATTCAATAGTTTTGCTAATTAATATTTGTAATTCTATAAAGAAAAAGCTCAAGAACATCTGGGGATGATTGCGTGGTTTGCAGTTTATTTGATGAATATTTGTTAATGTGTTATAATGTGGTTTTAAATGTTAATTTTAACTCTATATAAATTCGAGCATTTTCTGTTGTATCAATTCGAGCATTTTCTGATTCATAGTGATATATATGGTAATGTGTTTTTTAAATTATATTTTATTTTTATTTCTGATTTTTTTATTTTAATTGTTTATGATTTTATATTGTTTAATAAACATAAAATCATAAATCATAAACAATTATATTGTCACTCTTTCTTTTTACTATTTCTTTTTACTAAAAAGAGTAAGTGACTTATCTTTATTAATAAAGATTTGTCACTTTGTTTTAGTATAAAGAAAGACTTTTATTTTTAATTTCCTTAAAATTTTTTTTGTAATTTTATTTAAAAAGTCAAATTTTTATGTCAAAAAATCACTCACTTCAAGCTTGACTAAAAGTTTTAGTCAGACTAAAAGGGAGTAAACCATTTGACATTAAAAATTGATCAATATTGAAATCACTCTCTCATAAAATATATATAAACATTTTTTACTAGTAAATATATATTTTTTGTTATCTCTTGTTAACAAGATTTAACATTTCTTTTTAACATGTTAAACAAACTATAAAATTATTGAATATTGTTATATTTTATATTATAATTTTTATTTACTTAACATTAAGATTTTTGTTATAAATGCGATTATATAAATTAATTTAAAATTTCCATAATTTAATTTTATGATATTTTGATTAATTACTACTGTATATAGTTATATAATGCTAGTTACTCAAGTTTTTAGTAATATATATATATATATATATGCACTAATATATATATATATATATATATATATATATATATATATATATATATATATATATACATATATATATATATATGTATATATATACATATACATACATATATATATATATATATATATATATATATATATATACTATATATATATATATATATATATATATATATATATATATATATATATATATATATATATATATATATATATATATATATATATATATATATACATGTATGTATATATATATATATATATATATATATATATATATATATATATATATACATTTTTTTTTTATCTGTGTGTATATGAATATATATATATATATATATATATATATATATATATATATATATATATATATATATATATATATATATATATATATACATATATTCATATACATATATATATATATATATATATATATATATATATATATATATATATATATATATATATATATACATGTTTTACATTTATACATGTTTTACATTTGGGATTTGGCGCAGAAGAAACAGTAAAAAAAAGTTTCTTTTTTCTTTTTCAGGGATGGATGTTAGCAAACCGCCAAATATACAAACAAACGAATTCTATTGGTTTATAAAATACGCTGACTAAGCAAATTAAAGTTCCAGAATATTCCTAAGAAACTTTCCTAAAAATTTTATTGAAGTTATCTTTGAGATATCTATTGTAAATTGTTATAAAAGTGTATTATTAAACGAACTTTAACTTTGAAAAAAAAAAAAAATTATTATACCCTTTTATAAATTGATTAATATTTGTCTAACAATAATTTTTATAAGTAAGTAGTTAAAGTTAGTTTTTTCGTTTTCTTTTTCATGTATTTGAATAAACTTATTATTAATATTATTATTATCATTAAATATAAAAATTTAGGTATATGTATCAATGCTATATTTTTTTTAAGTTTAAATTCTTTAAACGATACAATATAATGGACCGTGGTAAGAGACAGCGCTTGTCTGGATCATAATACAAGAAAATTAGGCTTCAACGTGAAGCAAATTCTGCCAAGCAGAAGAATGCTTTGTTGCACTTTTTGAGCAGGTCATCAAGCGAAAAAGCACTGGCACCTATAGTAGCTTCAACTTCAAACCAAAATGAAGTTGAAATTGAAATCGAAAGCGGTGGAGAAATAGAATATGCGGATAGTGTTAGTGTTAATGAATATAGAAATTCTGGAAATGATGATACTGCTAAAGAACCAGAAAATGTTGATGAAGTGGAATTTATCTCCAATTTAAGTGAAGTTGTTGTACAGAACGTCGATGATATAGGACAAAATGAAAACAATGAAGATCAAAGTGGTGAAGACCCCAAAACCAATAAAGATTTGCCTCTTAATTTTAATGATCCGGCAAAATGGCCTATAATAGATGGTAAATTTAAAGCATTGCTGATGAAGTATGGTCCAATTCAAAAATTGCCGTCTTTATTTCCCGAAGATGAACAAGGTAGAAAATTTTCAAGCTTTCATTTTTATCGCCGAATGTCTAATGGCGATAAAATTAAACGCACTTGGTTGGTGTACTCCATTACGAAAGACACTGTATTTTGCTTTTGCTGTAAGATATTTAGTCCGAATAAATTCTCCCTGTCATCGCATGACGGCTGCCGAGATTGGAGAAATATTTCTGTTATTATTAAACGACATGATACATCAAGTGGCCACACTACTGCATATCTAAATTGGAGAGATCTGGAGGACTTAAATCAGGGGCTACGATTGATCACATTAATCAGAAAATAATTCAATCTGAAACTCAACATTGGCGACAAGTTCTTGCAAGAATAATAACGTTAATTAGAACTCTTGCTGGACAAAATCTAGCATTAAGAGGAACATGTGAAAAGCTTTTCGAACCGAATAACGGAAATTTTCTTAAATATATTGAATTCTTAGGAAATTATGATCCTATTATGAGTAAACATATTCAACGAATAACAACAAGTGAAATTCACACCACCTATCTCGGAAAAACTATTCAAAATGAAATCGTTGAATTGCTTGCTAATAAAATCAAAAATGACATCTTAGCAAAACTAGAGCGAGCAAAGTACTACTCACTTATTTTAGACTGTACCCCCGATATAAGCCACATGGAGCAGATGACAGTTGTTTTTAGGTTTGTCAGTGCAACTGAATTATCTTCGGAAAAACCAGCTGAAGTCGTAGTTTCTGAACACTTCGTAACTTTTCTTGAATTACAAGACACAACGGGAGCAAATATGACAAAAGTTGTTATCGATAAGTTGCAGGAATTAGGCGGAAATCTTGATGACATGAGGGAACAAGGGTACGATAATGGAGCCAACATGCGCGGAAAATATAATGGTGTGCAAGCCAGAATTCGTCAACTAAATCCTCGAGCTTTTTTCGTTCCTTGTAGTGCCCACTCGCTCAACTTGGTATTGAACGATGCAGCTAATTGTTGTATGGAGGCTGTCGCATTCTTTGATTTAATTCAAGGCATTTATAACTTTTTCTCAGCATCAACTCACCGTTGGAGTATATTATTAAACCACCTAAGCGATCTGACTATAAAACCGTTAAGTGCCACTCGTTGGGAAAGCAGGGTCGGTGCCGTACGGGCACTTCGATTTCAGATTAGTGGAGTTTACGATGCACTAATTGAAATCGCAGAAGACAATACATTAACTACTGCACCACAAGTCAAGAGTCGCGCAGAGGCTAAGGGAATAGTCAGAAATATTTCAAATTTCAAATTTGTTTGCTCCTTGGTATTGTGGTATGACATTTTATTCCAAATTAATATTGTCAGCAAAATGCTCCAATCACAGGCTTTAGACTTGTCGCTTGCTCTAGAGCATTTAAACGCTACCAAATCTTTCCTATGCGATTATCGCTGTGATGAAGAATTTGCCGCAATGGTTGAAAATGCAAAAAAATTGGCAGTTGAACTAGAAATTTTTGAAGGACTTGATGTGGATGATCCCGTACGCGTACGCAGAAAGAGTAGACAATTCCTATACGAAGGTCGTGATGAACCGATAGTATCACCAGAACAAAACTTCAGAGTATCTTTTTTCAATCGAATATTGGACATCGCAATTCAAGCAATAAATGAAAGATTTACGCAATTATCGGAATATAACGAGTTATTTGGGTTTCTTTACAATATCGGCAGCAAACCCTTAACGGATGATGAGTTGTTGAAACACTGTAAGGACTTGCATTTAGCGCTTATGTCTGATGGCCAATCTGATATCAACGGGGTCGAACTTTGGTATGAAATTAAAGCTATTGGGAGACGACTTGATACTTCCAATAGCGATCCACAAAGTGTATTAAAATGTATTTACACATCTAATGTTGTCGAAGTATTCCCAAACCTTTCGATAGCTCTTCGCATACTACTAACGTTACCAGTCACAGTTGCTAGTGCTGAAAGAAGCTTTTCAAAGCTGAAAATAATAAAATCCTATTTGAGATCACAAATGTGTCAAGATCGTTTAGTTGGTCTAGCTACGATTTCCATCGAGAAAGAAATTGCTGATCATTTGGACATAGAAGATTTGGTTAAAGATTTCGCAGAATTAAAAGCTAGGAAAATTCACTTTTAATTACGATTTGTTTTTTATTTTTTCATGAATGGAATTTGTTTTGTTTTTTATTTTTGTATAAATTGAGTTTTTTTATTTTCTATATTAAAGTTTGATTTTCAGTGTTTTTCTATTTTCCTTCAAATTGGAAATTATTGCATTTTTAGTTTTTGCGGCGGCAAATTTGCATCTCGCCTACACATAGAAAACTGTTAAAACCGGGCCTGTATATAGGTAATGCCGCTTAACTGCAGATTTACCTATAATATATATATATATATATATATATATATATATATATATATATATATATATATATATATATATATATATATATATATATATCATTGGTGTAACTAGGGGGGAGCAAAACCCCGCAAGGCGGGTAGGCACGGAGCTTAAATAGCCCTGCAGAGATTTTTAAATTTTACTCATGAATAATATGACTGGTAATAATAATTTTAAGTTTAATTAATTTTTTTTTAGATTTAACTTAATATATTTTATTTATTAACTTAATATAAAAAGGAAATATTGGATATTTTATTCTTAAATATATTTTGAAAAAATCTAAAATGGGAGAAAAAATTTAAGCAGGGCCCTTTACTTCTTTAGTGGGGGGGGGGTGCAAATTTTATGGTTACGCCACTGATATATATATATATATATATATATATATATATATATATATATATATATATATATATATATATATATATATATATATATATATATATATGTATATATATTTATATACATATATGTGTATATATATTTATATACATATATGTATATATATATATTTATATACATATATGTATATATATATTTATATACATATATGTATATATATATATACACACACGAGGCTTATTTAAATTTTTTAAATTTAACTTAGTTTCATATTTTCATACACTTTTATTTTGAAATTTTAGATTATAATAGCTTTGAAACAATGATAATGAAAGTTTTTTCATCGTTCTAAATTTATGGTAAGTTAAATAAGCTTTTTTGTTATAAAATATATGTTACTATGTTGTTGAATTACATTAATATTTTTATAAATTACGTTATAGCTACAGTTATGGTCGTAAAAGATTAAGAAAAATCTTATGGGTGCAATTATTCCTCTGACACCTGCAAAATTAACAAAAGAACTGACCATCGCTGTTTTATTGTATTTTTTTTAAATGTTCTAGTTAAACAATCTATCACTTAATTATTTGTTATTTTTATTATTGTTTTATAAATAAGCGTCTTTATTGCTTAGCGACTAGTTAAGTTATATTATAAGGATTATATTTTCAAGAAAATTCTGTGTTTAAATTATTATTTTTATTTAAACTCGTATATTTCTTGAAAAATAAGCCTACTAATATATCTATGAAATCTTTAAAACTCAAATAACTAAATAAAACCCTAATAAACATATGAATTTAACTAAAAAAACTATTAACTAAAACTAGAAAGTAGTACTTAACCGAGAAAAAAAAACCTACTAATCCTGTTAAGTACCTACTAAATTCCGAGTAAAAACCCTAGTAATACTACTAAGTTTCCTTCTAAAAACTTGCTAATCCTACTAAGTTTCCTACTAAAACCTGCTAATCCTACTAAGTTTCTAGTAAGTACTCGGCGGGAACTTACTAAGTTTTAGTAGGAAACTTATTAGGAACTTAACAGGATTAGCGGGTTTTTTTTTCTCGGGTAAGGACTTCTTGGGGCACCTAAATCAACTTAAAAAAAAAAAAAAAGATATCTTTCTTCGACATCGAAAAGACGTCTTTTTTTATCTTAATCTTGTCATGAAAAGACATAAAAATTGCGTCTTTAAGACGCCTTTTTTTAGTCAAATATGCAAATCTAAAAAAGTGTTTTTTCTCGGGGTCGGAACGAGTTTTTTGCCATACTTATTAGTATACTATAGTATCCTATACACTATATTATTCCTACTTTTCATATATTAAAATCTATTTTTTTCTAATGAAAATGATAATAGCTCTTCATACAAAGTATGACAAAAAGCTTTTTCCGATGCCGAGAAAAAAACCTCTTTTAGATGTCAACATAAAAAAGGAAGCATTTTCTACATCTTTTATATGTTTAAATATAGGAGAATAATTTATAAATAAAACAATAGTATTTTTCAACAGAATATTTTTTCATCTTTCTCTTTCTTGAGCAAGCTCTGTTTCTTGGCGTTGTTGAATAAAATTAACAATTTCACAATGAGAATTCGTTTTATACGAGCAGGTTACGACTTCTAGCTGGTTACCACTTCTAAAAAACGAGTGAACATAAAAAACAGTCCATTGCTTAAATGTAATACAAAAAAAGCAAACGAAACTTGATAAGATATTGATATTTTTTTGTCTTCTATAACATGACTTTTTAATTGAATTTCGCTGAAATTAAGTGTTGTAGATTCATAACAATTTATTGACTAAAGACTATCAAAACAAAAAGATAATTCAGCTAATACACCTTGAGAGTTGTTATTCATTTAAACTGGAAAAAAGTATTTATCAAAGCTCTATTTTAGCCTGAAACATAAGAATCCCTTACTTAACAACATAAAATCATAAAAACTGGCAATATCATTAGCAACACAGATGAAATACACATAAACAAAAATGAAAACTTAAAAGCTGCAATGATGTTTAAATATAAGAAAGTGTACCTTTCCAGTATCATTTTTACTTGGTTTTTTGTATCCAAACCAAAAACTTTGCGAACAGTTCTAAAAATAAATATGTTGTCATTACGTGTATTTTTATAATTGCTAAATGACAAACAACAGTTAATAGTAAATAATATATTTAACATAAAAGTTAAAGAACCAATCTTGTGTATAAACAATTTCATCATTCAACTAAATAAAAACAACAAAATTATTCAGATCATATAAAAATATATTAAAAAAAATTGCAAGCCTACTGAATGCTTCTTTTTTTCTATCGTTCGTTTCACTGGCACTTGAACAAGTAAATATAGAGAGAAATTGTTTACAGGTTTAATTTTTCGTCTGAAAATAAATATTTTAATTTAATATGTAATAAACAACGTTCTTCAAGCACAATACATTAAAAAATTAGTCTAAAAATAAACGGTCAAACTTTTTTAAAACACTTGCCTGCGACTAACTTAATTGAGACTAGATCATATCGATACCATCTTACTGGCACCACGCCATCCACTTTTGCTTCTTCCGATTAATATTTTTTTAAGTAAGCAACTGCAATTGTATATTTATTTCAGTATATATATATATATATATATATATATATATATATATATATATACATATATATATATATATATATATATATATATATATATATATATATATATATATATATATATATATATATATATATATATATATATATATATATATATATATATATATATATATATATATGTATATATATATATATATATATATATATACTATAATATAAATATGCATATTATGTATATTTTACATAATATATTATTTTATTATAAAAATTATTAAATAAACCCGCTTACCGACAAAAGTTAATTTTTAATTAATTTTCCTATGCAAAAACGTTTCACATAAAAGTTATATAAAAGTATTTTGTAAACAAAAAACGGGCCAATCAGAACGTAACAAAGATATCGTAGTTACGATACTGTGGGTTAAAACTCATTTTTGTTAGGTTCTATTGGCAACAATTATTTTTAATTTTCTTAAGCAAATAATGATTTCCTTATTAACTACCGATTGACGTCTTTTTGACCTCTTTTCTGAAGACGTCTTTTTAAAAGACGTCTTCCCACGTCTTTATTTTGGCTGATTATAAAAAGACATAACAAGTCATAAAAAAGACGCCTTTTATTCGTCTAAAGATGTCTTTGTTCCATCTGGGAACCTTATTGCTACGATATTATCCTGAATTAGCAATTTAAAATTCGGGAAATTTCTAATAAAACTATTTATAAATAAAGTCTTGTATTGTAAAAAGAGTATACCAAACCTTTTATAGAATTTCATTAATAATATTAGTTGTAATTTATATAATATTATAATTAAATAAAATCTTCTTAAATATTTTGTGGTTTCATTCTCGGGTGCAACCGATTTTACCCGATTCAAGTAATATTTTATGTTGAATTGTTTTCTACTTAGTATTTACACAATAAAAGTTTAATTAACTAAAATTTTAGACATTGATATGTCTAAAATTATATTTTAAGTTTAATTTTAGACAGGCTAATCCTTTCCAGCCGACTAGAACAAATTAGGTTTTTTATTGTTTTATAGTCATGGTTTTTTATTACGTAATAAATAATTCTTCCGCGGAATAATTGACGCGAAATTCCGCGTCAAGACGTGACTATTAAAGCGTGACAAGTTAAACTTTCTGAGTTGCGTAAGTCAAAAGTAAATTTCAGTATAATAATTCATTTTTTTAGCTTGTGAAGGAAATGTTCCTTCACAGTGTTAAGCCTAAAGTCTTAAATTTCAAAATCGCAAATTTTAAGAGAGTACTTAAAGTTTGTGTTTTTTTCACAAAAATTGTGTGACTCAATTTTTTTCTCAAAAAAGTAGTGACACACAATTTTTGCAACTACACACTCTAAATTTGTAAACATAAAAATGTAAAGAACTCTTTTAGATTTTGCATCTAGTATCTGACTCAAATGTTGAACCACAAAATAGCAGATATAGTTTTTTTGTTTGTTTTTTTCTCTTTTTTTAAATAAATCTGATTTATAACCCAGAGTAATTTTTTTAAATAGGTTCCGAGCAATAATTAAAATTGTTTTGTTCATCTTTAAGTTATATTATAAGATTGTAAAATGGGGATCCTAAAGTAGACTAAGTACTTGGTATTGTTACTTTTTGAGCTTGTAAACGATTTCTTTTAAATTTGCAGAAGCTAGACTCCCACCTGGCCGTAAATGGCGAAAACTCTGGTGGAATAACTTTGAAGATGTTGAACCGACTTCAAAAATGTTCTGCAAGTCAAATGCAAGTTATGCCGATAGATGTCCTCTCTAACAGAATCGCTAGATCAAAAGCTTCTGCAACTGGCATGAAGTCACACCTCAAGCGCAAACACAAAACTGTGTATAATGAAGTTTTGTGGCAGGAGGAAGAAATGAAGTCTCAACAAGCCACTTCTGGGTAAAAACTTTAGTTTTTGGCATCAATAGGAGGTAATCATTTTTTAATACTTATTGATTCTTAAAACTTGCAAAACCGCTTTTAGAAGTGAAAGATTTTGTGATAACAGCAATTAAAAATATTTCTAAGAATTGGAGCTCGTAATTACTTTCAACTGCGCGTTTTTTAAAGCTGAAATCGCAAAATCCTATGCAATTAAGATTTGACTATGAAGTGTGTCTAGGCCTTGCAAACTCAAATGTTTTTTTTCACTTTATGGAATCCTATCAATTCAACAAATGTTTCAAGCAAAATGTCCACAGGTAAAGTAAAGTTCTATTCCAATATTTATGCTAAAACCTACCCGAGTAAAGTAAGTTTGAAATGCCAGGAGTTATTGTAATTCAAAATATTTAAATTATTTTTAGTACACACTTCGCTCTGCAAGGACCTACGCTCAGAATAAATTTCCCATTGTATACGAGGCTGTCAAAAAAAGCTGTGAAAGACATTCCCAGTGAAAAAAAACATCTTTAGACGAATAAAAGGCGTCTTTTTCATGACTTGTTATGTCTTTTTTATAATCAGCCTAAATAAAGACGTGGAAAGACATTTTTTAAAAAGACGTCTTCAAAAAAGAGGTCGAAAATACGTTAACCGGTTGTTAATAAGGAAATCATTATTTGCTTAAGAATATTAAAAAATAATTATTGCCAATAGAACCTAACATAGATGGATTTTAACCCACAGTATCGTAATTATGATATCTTTGTTACCTTCTGATAGGCCCGTTTTTGTTTACAAAATACTTTCATATAACTCTTATGTGAAACGTTTTTGCATAGAAAATTTAATTAAAAATTAACTTTTTTTGTTAAGCGGGTATATTCAATAATTTATATAATAAAGTAATATATTATGTAAAATATACATATAATAAATGCATATATATATATATATATATATTATAGTATATATATATATATATATATATATATATATATATATATATATATATATATATATATATATATAATATATATATATATATATATATATATATATATATATATATATATATATATTGAAATAAATATACAATTGCTGCTGTTTAGCTAAAAAATGTTAATCGGAAGAAGCAAAAGTGAATGGCGTGGTGCCAGTAAGATGGTATCGATATGATCTAGTTTCAATAAAGTTAGTTGCAGGTAAGTGTTTTAAAAAGTTTTACCGTTTATTTGTAGACTAATTTTTTAATGTAATGTGCTTGAAGAACGTTGTTTATTACATATTAAATTAAAATATTTATTTTCAAACGAAAAATAAAACCTGTAAACAATTTCTCTCCATATTTACTTGTTCAAGTGCCAGTGAAACGAACGATAGAAAAAAAGAAGCATTCAGTAGGCTTGCAATTTTTTTTTTTTTTATTTATAAATGATCTGAATAATTTTGTTGTTTTTATTTAGTTGAATGATGAAATTTTTTATACAAAAGATTGCCTCTTTAACTTTTATGTCAAATATGTTATTTCCTTTTAACTGCTGTTTGTCATTAACAAAGCAATTATAAAAATACACGTAATGACAACATATTTATCTTTAGAACTGTTTGCAAAATTTTTGGTTTGGATACAAAAAATCAAGTGAAAATGATACTGGAAAGTTACACTTTCTTATATCTAAACATCATTGCAGCTTTCTAGCATTCATTTTTGTTTATGTGTATTTTATCTGTGTTGCTTATGATATCGCCAGTTTTTATGATTTTATGATGTTAAGTAACGCATCCTTATGTTTCAGGCAAAAATAGAGCTTTGGCAAATACTTTTTTCTAGTTTAAATGAATAACAACTCTCAAGGTGTATTAGCTAAATTATCTTTTTGTTTTGATAGTCTTTAGTCAATAAAGGATTTTTAAATTGATATAAATCTACAACACTTAATTTCAGTGAAATTCAATTAAAAAGTCATGTTATAGAAGATATAAATTATTGTTATAAAAATATCTATATCTGTTTTCAATAACTTGGCTTTCACAGCAAATCTGAGAGGTGCAAATGTTTAGCTTGATTTAAGTACTACATAACAAAATACATCATTGTACAGTCATTTTGATAGTTGTAAATTAATTTAGTACATTCATTTTTATATATTTTAAGACTGTTTAGCTCCTGTCCCAATCTAATCTAGTGGGTTCAAAAAGTTGGGACCGCGCTGGAAACAAAATTGGATTAAAAGGATCAGCCGTTTCTAAATTAATAGTCGGTAAGTATAATGTGCTCCACTCAGCTAATCAAGTTTCGTTTGCTTTTTTTGCATTACATTTAAGCAATAGACTGTTTTTTATGTTCACTCGTTTTTTAGAATTGGTAACCAGCTAGAAGTCGTAATCTGCTCGTATGAAAGGATTTCTTGACGTGAAATTTTTAATTTTATTCAACAACGCCAAGAAACAGAGCTCGCTCAAAACAGAAAAGAAAGAGAAAGATGAAAAAATATTCTGTTGAAAAATACTACTGTTTTATTTATAAATTATAATATATAAAAGATGTAGAAAATGCTTCCTTTTTTATGTTGACATCTAAAAGAGGTTTTTTTCTCGGCATCGGAAAAAGCATTTTGTCATACTTTGCATGAAGAGCTATTATCATTTTGATTTAAAAAAAATAGTTTTTTATATAAGAAAAGTAGGAATACTATAGTGTATAGGGTACTATAGTATACTATAAGTATGGCAAAAAACTCGTTCCGACCCCGAGAAAATACACTTTTTTAGAAGTGCATAACTGATAAACAAAGACGTTTTAAAGACGAATTTTTTAATGTGTTTTCATGACAAGATTAAGATAAATAAATTGAAAACTTTTCAACTTAGTAAAAGGGGCTGTCCATAACTGATGTCTGCAATTTTTCTCAATTTTTAAACCCCTCCCCTTTTTGTCAAATTCTGTCAATTTTTGACAAAACCCCCCCTTATATATAATGTCAGATTTTGTACCCCCTCCCCTAAAGTAACATTAAAAATATGTGTAAGTACCATCGATTTTTTCTGATTAAGTTATACATTTATATCTCAGCATATTATATTATAGAACAGTTGATATCTCATCAAATAGTAAACAAATTTTTGAAAATTTTATTCTGTATCTATAATATAAATTCAATCACTCATCGTCTTACATAAAGTCATTTGACAAATGACTTTATGTATGTGCTTTAAAGCAAATACATAAAGTCATTTGTCATTAATATCAAAGAACACTCAAAGTGTTCTTTGATATTAATGACAAATGACTTTATTTATTTGCTTTAAAGCACATTTTAAAATCCGCTGAGACCGAATAATGATTGTTAAATTTATATACAAATTGTTGATATTTGTAAATTATTAGATTATCAGTCAAATGGTAATACAATAGTAAAACGTTGGTAAATTTTTAATTTATATCATGTCTCATGGCCTACTTAAATTACACGGCCTGATTTGTTGCATTTTCCGTAAAAAATTAGGAGGCCAGTTTTTTTACGGCTCAAGTATAAAAACTTAATTTTCGCTATAGTTATGAGTCTTGTTTGCACTATAATTGGTTTATTCTGATTTTATTAAAATGGTTTAATAATAGTTAGATTTTATTTGAGTACTTACATTATTTTGTGCTGGATTTTTTGTTAACTGATTGCCTGCTTCAGTTTATTCCAATTACACAGAATACTGAAATAGGCTTTCAGATAGCTATATCAACACATACCAACATGCTTCTAAAAATAACCTTACAATAAACCTTAAAATAAATGTTGCTAAGACTGTCTCAAACTCTTCATTGAAAAAAAAAATCAAAGGTTTGTAGTTTTGTATTTTTTATAATTGAAATTAAAAGAAGAAATACCTTTTTACTAGGAATATTTATATTGTCTTTGCCTTTTTTGTAATTTTTTTACTTGATCTTTACTCAATGAATATGTAACTTCTTTTTGCAAATTGTTATAAAAATATTATTAACAATACGAGATCTTTATTTGACTCCCCACTTTTGGTGCTTTTCATTAGTAAAATTGTCATTGCTACAACAAATCTATAAAATTTGTTTTGCAAATTTTTAATTGAAAAAGAATGACTGCAATTTTTTATTTAAATAAGAGAAATAACATAAAATACTAAACAGAAGACAAATAAAGTTAGACAGGTTGAATTGCATATATAGGTTCTTCTCTGTATAAAGTAACATTTATTAATCATAAATTTAACATAAAAATCTTTTTGTTAATTTTTATTTTTATTCCTTGCTTAAGTATATAAACCTGTGCTATTTTTAAAAAACTGACACTAGTAATTATGTAGACAACTAAGCTAAATTTTGCACAATATTTTTAATGATTTTCAAAATTCTGATAAAATATTTTTTGGGAAAATCCGCGAAAATTTTTTTACTAATGCATGTTTCTAATTATACTTACTTTTTTACTAATGCATGTTTTTAATTATACTTACTAAAACCTAGCTCCAAAAGAGTACTTTGTAAATTAGAACTAAGAACAACTGCAAAGCCTTCCTCAAAAAAATCATTCACAAGAGATACAGTTGCTTGTAAGGTTGTTATAAGAGCACAAGAAGTTTTTTTGGTTAATGTAAAGTATTTATCAAATTTTATTTTGATTAAATTTCAGTACTATTTGCAATTTCTCTATAAAGTGTGGGTTTGTTACCAGCTTTGCTGAGTTTGATTGGATAAATTAAGTTTCTGCTTTGAATTAAGTATGATAAATAACTTATAAAATAATGATTAAAGTGTGTTGCATTATTTATTTCAGGAAAATAATTATAAATTACAGCTGCAGTTGTTTCGTCAAATATTATCAATGTTGACAACTTGTTTGTTGTTTCTAAAATATGTGACTTGATAATTAATTTTACTTGCCTGTTTAATAATTAATTTTTTAATAAACTTTAAGAAATATATTCCCTGCAATGTAACTAGCAGTAACTTTAGCAGTAACTGGAAAAATCAAATGAAAAAGAGTAATTTTTTTTTTTTTTTTTTTTTTGCGTTTAATAAGTTTTTTCTTACATTTTTTATAAAACGAAGTATATCAAATAATAAGTATGTTTTATATACTCCTTTTTTAAACTGAATGATAAATTAATAGTTTTCCATCACCAATATATGCTTTATGAAACTATAAAAATGCATTAAGATTGGCAGAATGGTTATCTGTCACAACAGCCCTTATCTTTAATTCAGATTGGTGCATTGAGTGCATTGAGGTAATACACTCATCAATTTTTTTTTTCAAACATAAACTTGTTATGTAAACTTTTGGTGAGGATTTTAAAATAAAAACAAAAACAGTTTTATAAAGATTATTTTCTCAATCTTCATCAAATTGTTTACAACTTTGAGATTAAGCTGCTTTATGGAAGTACATCTTAACCACAAAAAGCAGATAATCACTTAACAACAAATTTTTGTCAATAATATTTCTAATATAATATAGTTTTTTAATTTGTAATTTTCACCACTGCGAAACAATTTTAATAAAGAAACATGAAAATATGAAATATGATAAGCATTTATTAGGCAATGAAAAATTAAGAATTTTATTAACAGATATTGACTTTAAAACAGTTGGTATGCCTGATATTTCTTGGCCTGTATTTTAATTGCTGTATGTATGAAACACAAGCATAGTAGAGTATTTACATTTCAAAACGTTGTTTTGCAGTGTAAATATTTCAAAGAAAAATCGATTTTTTATATCTAATAACTGCAATTATAATAAATAAAAAAGTACAAACCTTTAAAATTATTTCCAATAGAGAGTTGTGAGAAGTTTTAGCAACATGTAAAGTTATTTTTAGTAGCATGTTGGTATGTGTTGATATAGCTATCTGAAAGCCTATTTCAGTATTCTGTGTAATTGGAATAAACTGAAGCAGGCAATCAGTTAACAAAAAATCCAGCACAAAATAATGTAAGTACTCAAATAAAATCTAACTATTATTAAACCATTTTAATAAAATCAGAATAAACCAATTATAGTGCAAACAAGACTCATAACCATAGCGAAAATTAAGTTTTTATACTTGAGCCGTAAAAAAACTGGCCTCCTAATTTTTTACGGAAAATGCAACAAATCAGGCCGTGTAATTTAAGTAGGCCATGCATGTCTCTAGGAAACTCCCCACAAAGCAAATATGCTATTTCTATACTACATTGTAGATGTAAATACCTTTAAAATATGTTTGTATTAGCCAAACTCATATAACGCGGTTTGTAAGAAAAAAAATAAAAATGGTAGCGTTATAAATAACAACAAAACCATGTGAAGTCTATTTTTGTATATAGGTAGTTTTGTTTATATAAATTTTAAACCATTTTCAACAAAAATAGTGACTTTAGTTTAAAATCGTATTGTGACCAAATGTGATCATGATCTCAATACATTCCAACTGTTAGGAAAGTTTTTTGTATTCCTTCTGAAAAGCTTCTACACGTGGAAGGCGATAAAATTCTATTGGTTTCCCATTTGCGTTTTAAGAATATCTTTTCATTTTAAAATCTAGGATAGCTAAAGCTAATTATTAAACTTTTTTCTGAATAAAAAACACAGACAAAAAAGGTTTAAACAAAGCTACCATTTTTATTTTTTTCCCTACAAATAGACCCAGGTTGCTGACGTGAATTTGGCTAATAAACTTGAATTTTTTTCTTAAATGGACATCAATTTGGTCTCAACACCCACTCCACATTGTCAATTCTTGTCAAACTTTTTGGTACTCCCTCCCCCTTATATTTACTGACATCATTTATGGATAGCCTTAAAGTCCTACTTATCCAAAGACCGAGACAACGGAATTCTACTGTATTTAATCGTTTTTTTTTAATTATAAACATAATTCTAATAGGCCCAGATTTGGCAAAAAAGTAAGCATATATATGCATATTTCTGAGCCTCGAGAAACTATTTTAAAAATTTTAATTTTATTTAATTAAAAATTATAATTATATATATTTCTAAATTTAAACCAACAAAAAAAACAAAAATCGAAGTTTATAACAACGTTAGTTCATATACATTAAAACCAAAGCAAAAATACAAAGCATAAGTCAACTTTTTATTTTTCTTAAACCCATTAACCTTTAGTAACGCGCACACTTTTATAAATTAATGAAATAGGTATATTTTATTAGAAATATGCATAAGCTTAAGCATATTTTTGGACCTTTTTTTACTTTTTGTTTAAGCATATTAGAACCTGTTTCAAAAATTTCATATGCTTAAAAAAAACAACATGTATATTCCTTTATTCTTACGTAATGAGTTCAAAAAACATCATTATGTATATTTATTATGGCACGTTTCGTAAGTTTGTTTCCGTTAAGAACTCATTCGTATGTTGTGATGCAAAATACTTTCGTTTCGAAAGAAATTTTGTTTTTTATCAATATTTCTAAAAATAAAACCATAAAAATTTAATATGTTATTATACTAAAAATAAAAATTCATAATATACATTTTGGGATTTAAAGATGTTAATTTTTACAATTAAAATCAGTCTAGCAAACAAGTTTTCTTTATACACTTCAAAACGTCGTTTGGCGAAAATGCTTGTTTCGCACGTGCGACTTCCGAAACCGCTACTTTCGTATGTTGCAAAATAGTTTTATTTGCGTATGCCATTTTCGTATGCGAAATGCTAAATTTCGGAAATGGCATTTGCGAAATGAACATCGACAATTTTAAATGTTTTGTAATATTCGGTACGAAAAAATGTAATTCCTCGTTCTCAATCTGCTTACAAAAGAATGCTGTTTTTCCGGAATCGCACGAAATCCTCCGGTTAACAACCCTACTGTGCAGCTGTTTTGTCCAAGCTTGAAGAAAAGTTTAAGAATCATGGCTGCAATGAAAAAGCTTTTGTTGAAGCCAACTTCTCCCCGGCATTATTCGAAAAGATCAAACGAGAAATTATAATTGAGCATTCTTCCTACGAAGAATGGACCTCTGCAACACGCCCAGAGGTTTTTGAGAAGTTTTCCCGTTAAAACAATCTCCTTTATGAAGCCAACAGAGGTAAAGAAAAAGTAACAGACCCAATGGTTGGAGCTAAAGATAAACCTTCTTTTTTTAATGAAGTTTTAATGAAAACTTTTTCAAAAGTCAAAGTGCCAAAACATGCTGATGTCCTTTGTTGGTTGAAACAAAATGAATTTCGATTTCCACTTTTGTCTACAGCTGCTCGTACTGTGCTCTCCGTCCTAGCATCTTCTGCAGCATTAGAACAAGTTTTCTCAGAAACAGGAAATACTATAACTCCACTACAAAGTCGTTCGGACCCAAATAATGTAACCAAATAATAACAGCAGCAAAGTCATAATTCAGTGGGATTTACAACTTGAGTCAGGTAAGTGGAGTTTGTTAGAGGGTTTGTTGGTTGCTGTAACATATTTATTATTTTATTCCTAATAGTTTGATTTTTGATTTTACTTTAATTTGAAAAATTTAGATTAAAAAAATTTAATTAAAAATTAAAAGATAATTTATAAAACTGTCAAAACGTTTATTTTAAAAATTAGATTTTATTTTTCATGCATATTTTTAATTTAACTGACTAAAACTGTTAGGAAATATCCTATCATATTTTGATACAAAGTATCAAGAAGAGTAAAAATGCTGAAACAATGTTATTCAGGTCAACTTGAAGGTCCATCTAAGTCTAATCAGCATCAAAGAGCAGCCAGCTCTGGAGATTTAGACTTTTCAATGAACAGTTCTATGCTACTGCCTCCTCGAGCAGAACCTCAACTCCAGTTAAGCGCAATGCATCTCATAGCCAATTTTAAGAAATTGATTCAGAAGATGATGAAGATCAACTTAATCTGGCCTCCAGTGGTTTAAGTCAAAGTTTTGATGATAATGATGATTATACATCACCCTGAATTCAGACAAAGGCAACTTTAAGTTGCAGGTATTTATTTTTTAGAAATAGTTAAATATCTAATAGTCTCATCCTTATACCAAAAATCTTATAAACACAACTCCAGTATAACTTTTAGCAATTAAAATCTTTGTAAGAAAAATTATGAGATGTTTGGAAAAATAATGAGTATGAAGATATTGTTAAAAATAGTACGGTTAACATTTTGTTTTACTTACAGGCTTTAAACGCATTAGATGATGATACGAAATTTAAAAATGTAAAAAACAAAATATGCTATATATTGCAAATCTGTATATAAAAAATAGCAAAAATAATAGTAAATGCGTCAGAGATGAATACAAATACGTTAAAATACGTTACAAATACGTTAAAATACGTTAGCTTTTCTACTTTAATGTAAAGTAATACACTACAATAGTTATTGAAATTGTTTTCATCAAAACAATACAATAGTTATTGTAATTGTTTTCATCAAAACAATACAATAATTATTGTAGTTGTTTTCATCAAAACAATACAATAGTTATTGTAATTGTTTTTATCAAAACAATACAATAGTTATTGTAATTGTTTTCATCAAAACAATACAATAGTTATTGTAATTGTTTTCATCAAAAAATACAATAGTTATTGTAATTGTTTTCATCAAAACAATACAATACTATTGTAATTGTTTTCATCAAAACAATACAATAGTTGTTGTTATTTTATTTCATTAAAACAATACAATACAATAGTTCTCAAATTTTATTGTATTGTTAGAAAAAAAAAACAATACAATACTTATTGTAATTGTGTTTCATCACAGCAATACAATACCAAAATAAAGATTTTTTATTGTTTCTCTAATATTACAATACAATATTTTTGTATTGCTATGTGTAATTGTATTTAATTTTTACAAGTACAATTACAATAGTCCTAACCCATAACGCGCCTATAAAAATGAATAGACACGCATATAAAAATGAACAAATGCGCATATAAGAATGAATAAATGCGCATGTAAGAACGAATAAACACGCATATAAAAATGAGCAGGAGGCTGCATAAGCACGAATCGGCATATGTGCGAACTAGCATAAGTGCGAAGCGTTGCAAAAACTGGCATAAGTGCAAACTGGCATATGTGCGAATTGGCATAAGTGCGCCAAAATATTTTGCAAACTTTGGCAAAAGTGCGAATTGGCATAAGTGCGAACTGGCTTAAGTGTAAAGCAGTTGCAAAAACTGGCGCAAGTGCAAACTAGCATAAGTGCGAATTGGCATAAGTACGAAATACTAATTTGCACTTATGTCAATATATGAAATTTTATTCGGCGCACTTATGCCAACTCACACTTATGCCAGTTCGCACTCATGCCATTTTTTGTAACTGCTTCGCATTTATGCTAGTTCGCACGTATGCCAATTCGCACTTATGCCAATTCGCACTTGTGCCAATATTTGCAAAGTTTTTTGGCGCACTTATGGCAATTCGCACTTATGCCAGTTCGCACTTATGCCAGTTTTTGTAACTGATTCACACTTATGGCAGTTCGCATATATGCCGATTTGCACTTATGCCAATGTTTGCAAACTTGTTCTGCGTACTTATGCGAGTTCGTACTTATGCCAGTTCGCACTTGTGGCAGTTTTTGCAACTGCTTCGCACTTACGCTAGTTTGCATATATGCCAACTCGCACTTATGTTAATGTTTGCAAAATGTTTTGGCGCACTTATGTCAATTTGCACAAATGCCAGTTCGCACTTATGCCAATTTGCGCTTATGCCAGTTCGCACTTACGGCATTCGCACTTATGCCAGATCGCACTTTGAAATTCGCGCTTATTAATTAAAAATTAGTTTTTTTAACATTATTTAAAAATAATATCTATAACCTAGTAGTTAACTACTAAGTTCCACTAATATTTCATAACTAGTTATAACCTATCAGTAGAAATAAAAAACAAATATGAACGTAGTAGTTATCCAATTTAAAAATTTCCAAAAAACTTTCTAATAATTATTTTAAATGAAATAATTTTAATCATTTAGTCAACATATTATAGTTATCATAAAAAAGCAAGCAAAGCAATAAAAACATTAGTTAAAACAGCCGTTCTGGATTACGAAATGGAACTGGTAAATAATAGCAGATTTGACCCAAAAATAATCCAATCGTACGTCAAAAGCAAACCAAAAACACACGATCGCATACGTCAACTTGAAACAACTAATAATCAAACTACAACAGATCCTAAAGTAATATGTAACACTCTTAACGAATATTTCTAATCAGTTTTTGAAATCGAAACGCTAGGGTGTATACCAACATTCAACACTCGTTCCACTAGCATAAACCAACCGACCACACTCGCATCATACAATTCCGTCAAAGAAAAACTTTTGGACCTGAATAAATCCAAATCAATGGGCTTTGACAGTCTTCATCCACGCGTCCTGAAATACTGTGCTGCAGGTTTTGCTATCCCACTGAGCATTATCTTCTCTAAATCGCTTAAAGCTAGAGAAGTACCTTCGCAATGGAAAAAAGCCGAAATCACTCCTATTTTCAAAAAAGTCTGCAAGTTGAACCCCTCAAACTATCGACCTATCTCACGCACTTCTGTCCCTTTCAAGGTAATAGAAAGCTTTTTACACAAACGTATTACTGACCACTTAAACAAAAATAAACTCATCAGCTCTGCTCAACACGGGTTCCGAAAAGGAAAAGGTTGCATCACAAACCTACTCGAAACTTGCGACATCCTGACTGAAGCTGCCCGCAAAGGTTACCCAACCAATATCATATTCACAGACTTTGCTAAAGCATTCGACGAAGTTCCGCACCGTCGTCTGCTGCTCAAGCTAAAATCATATGGAATGTCCGACAACTTGCACGATTGGATCAAAAGCTGGCTACCGACCGGCTACAACGCGTAACCATTGGTAACAATAAATCTAATTGAAAAAGTGTCTCTAGCGGTGTGCCGCAAGGATCTGTTCTTGGACCACTCCTGTTCCTTATCTACATTAACGATTTTCCAGACAAAATACAACACCATTTTAAAACGTATGTAGATGACTGTAAAATATTCGGAACTATAGAATCAAACCATGACATCATAAAACTCAAAGCCTATATCAACGATGCAGTGAAATGGTCGCACACATAGCTCATATCATTTAACGTCGAAAAGTGCAAAGTCATGCACACCGGGCTCAGCAAAAAAAAAAAATCGACTGCAATTTATACAATGATTAACCTGGACGGTCAACTGCACCAGCTACCATGCACGTCATCTGAACAAGACCTAGGCGTTTTTATAACGAGCGATCTAAAAGTTAAAAAACAAGCCTGCGCGGCTGCATCAGATGGCAACCGAATGCTTGGCAGGCTCAAGATGGCTTTTCAAGGTCAAAGTTCTGCATTATGGCGCACACTGTACATTTTGTACGTTCGCCCACACTTAGAATTCGCAGTACAGGCCTGGTCACCGTTTTCAAAACATATTGCCTTCTTTAAACACCTTTCGTATGCTCAAAGACTATCAAGCCTGACAACACTATTTGAACGACGAGCAAAAGGAGACCTTACCAAACAATATAAAATCATGACCAAACTTGATAATGTTAACTTTTACGTCCCTCAACTTATATGCGGTAGTGGTGTAGTGGTAGAGCGCTCGCTTCATAAACGAGTGGTTCCGAGTTCGATCCCCACCACGTCCTTGGTAGTACCGCGCTCAACTTATTTCTCCGCGGAGCAGCCTTGTTCGTCAAGGTTCGTATTTTGGAGTTATAGAGTTGAGAGAGGGTTATAACCACAAATAAGTAGCCTCCTCGTCTGTTGTGGCCTTCTCGGCCTTGAGGAGGTGAATTAAAATGTAAAAAAAAAAAAAAAAATTTCAATCTTACACGGAATCTTCAAAGTACAGTTTTCGGCCGCATGGACACACTAAAGAACTAAGAGCACAACTTGTCCGAAACTGCGCTGAAAGAAGATTATGGAATTCATTAACCCAAAATGCAGTGGACGCAAAGAACTTAAGCTAAAATTGAAAAACTGTATTTTCATAACAGAGAGGCCTGGTGTGCCGCTCTTTGTCAAAAAAAAATTTGTAAATTTATTTTTGACCATGAATGAATAAACCTAATTTTTATTGGTAAAGTCGTATTTTATGTACGTAAACAAAAAAACGAAAACGTAACTAAAAGTATTTTAAATTAAAAAGAGTTTTACAAAATATTAATGCACAATTATACAACCGTAAAACGCAAAATAAAAAAGTTGATGTTTTTTAATGAAAATACGTTATTGCATATATTTTTTATCTTTTTATATAAATTTAAATTCGATATATTGAAATGACGAGTAGAAGGAATTCATTAAAAATTAGATTTTTGTTTTTGATGGAATTTCTCCATACAAACTCGTGTAAATAGCTTTTAAACAAATTTTCACTTGTACCACTTTGTCGGCGAAGCTTCTTTTTTGCTCGCATCCATAAGTTTTCAATATTTTGAGTGTGGATATGAGGATTATTAAGGTAAACAAATTTTCTTGGTGTACAACAACTTCATGGCTATATATGCTATCATTTTATGTATTTATGTTTGCATACGATGCTCAGCCATCTAATATTATATGTGAACCAGGTAATATCTATCTTTTAATTATTGTATGAAGTGATTCAACTGTTCTATCTGGCATTTCAACAAGAAAAAATTTGCCTGAGTCACGTTTAATTCCATCAAATACCCAGTGACCTGGCCGCCATTGTCCACGATGGTATTTTCTGTGATAAAACTTTGATTCATCTATTTCAACAATAACTGGTTGGCCAGTAACTCTATACCACCTATTTCACATGGATTTTCCTCAAGCTACTACTCACAAAGTTCTCTACAGAAGTTAGACCAATCAACCATTGTGTATTTGCGATTTAATTGTAGATGTTTTCCATCAATTACCTTTCTCCGATTAATTAATCCACATTGAATTTGACAGGTAGTGTAAATAAATGAATTTGATATTAGCCGATGTTGTGCACACTAATTAATTACATCATTTTCATTTGATAAAAGACAAGCTAATGATGAAAGATTATACCTTAAAGTTAAAATATCATAATGATATTTGATACCATAATTGATTAATAAGTTGATACCACCTAATGATTAGATGGTATCAACTCATTATCAGGAACAATACAACGGGATGCCTGCGGTCTTTCATTGTTTAATTTAAAAAGCGTTATAAAAAACGAAATATAAGAATGTAGACAATATTTATTAATAAATTATGATTAAATTTTTAGTTTTAGTTCTTTGTAATAAAAAAATTCGTTGTAAAAAAAAGTTCTTTTTAAAAATGAAGAAGTTTTAATTATGCAAACACTTTTGTTTAAATTTATTTACAGAAAAAAAAAAAAAAAAAATTAATTCTTTTTTATTACGCATTACCTAAACTGCGTTTTGTACTTGATTAGTTTACTTACCTAAAATACGGCTTTACTTTTTTATTTATATTTCATTTAGTTACTTTCTTTGAATTTTAGTTTTAATTAATAAATTAATTGTTTGTTATTGTTTTTTGTACAAATTTATGTACTTTTCAGTTCTTAACTACCCATTGCTGTGTGCTAGAATGTTAATAACACAACTGCATGGTAGGCAGCTGAATATCTTTTTAAAATAAACTATTATAAATTAGTTTTTCAAGTAGATATCACAAATTTAAAAATGCTGCATGAACTATTAGCTGAGCTCTGCGAGTACACACAACTCAGGGGTTCCTTCTAGAATTTTTTTATATATAATTATATGTACTTTATTTTTTATTTGGTTGTACTTTACTAAAATCACTAAACTATATATATTTTACATTTCACTTTTTTCCTTCAATATAAACTCTTGCGTAAGAATCATAAAATAACGATATTATTTATTTGAAATCAGCGTTTGCAAAACGAAGTTTTGAAATAATGCAAACTGTTGAAATCTAAATAAAAAAGCATCGAATAAAATAATCAAATTTAGCACTTAAGAATCACGAAGTTAAGAATATTGGAGTTTTTTTTTTTTTTTGATTTTTAAATATAAGGTAATCTTTTTCTTCAATACCAGCGGAATTTTAAAATTTGTGATTGAATGAGAACCAATAACAAAGAAAATAAATTTAATTGCATCGCGCTGAAATAATTCGTTAGCACATTAAAATTTCAAAATTGTGAATCATTTGGAAGTACTGATAAAACTTTGCATTATTAAAATTAAAGGAGTTATGTAAAGTAATTATATATATATATATATATATATATATATATATATATATATATATATATATATATATATATATATATATATATATATATATATATATATATATATATATATATATATATATATATATATATATAAAGAATAATAATTAATAAATAAGAAATAATTAAACTTTTTTGCTGATAATGGTTTTTGCTTTTTTATAAGCTTTTTCAATATCAAGTTATTAAAAATTGATATAAACAGTTTTGTTTCATAACTTTATTATTAAATAACATTACAAAATTAGTTTTCATAATTTTTGAAGTTAAGTTTGTGATATTGCGGTATGCTATTGCGGAAATACAATTAATGCGATGCGTTATTTGAATGGTTAATTTGTGATATTGTGACGTGTTATTGGGATGTGAAATTTTTTAAACTGCGATGTGTTGATTAGAATGTATATAGTGACCGAGCTTATGAAATGGTATTGAAAGTTTCTTCAAACTATCTGTTCTTGTTTGAAGTAAAAAATTGAATGCTAGTTTTTATTTTTCTTATTTTAATTTCAAATTCAAAGCCTAATTGATCGAAATTAGGAGATTTTATGATATCAAATATAAAGACTCTGTTGTTTTATGATTTTACTAATTGTTTTAGGCAACAAAAAGACTATCAAAAGTTTGAGGTTAATAAGTGCTTCTGACATTTTTTACAAGTTTGTTGGTTACGTTAATAAGTGCTTCTGGCATTTTTTACATACATATTTGTTGGTTACGTTTTTTTAAGTTATAATATCATTAAATCAATAACAAAGAATAATAATGTGTCACTATAAAAGAATGAGAAAAATTGTTCTCATTTTACTATGTCTTACAGCAATATTGTTAGTTATACGTTACTTAAATCAAAAAATGAATTTTATAACAAATCAAAAATATGCAATGTCATATAAAAAAAAAAACTTTATCCAATTATCAGCAAATTCACTAATAAATGACACCGTTCCTCATCACCAATTTAACACTCTAAAAGAAATACACGAGCTTATGTGGCAACAAATTCATGCTCTGCAAGAAGAAGGTGATTGTGAAGAAAAAAAAATTTTGCTATGTAGAAATGTTGAAAATTATGCCGGTTTTGGCTCCAATGTTCACCGATACGGAGTGTGCATGCAAGTAGCATATGGATTAGGAAGAATCTTCTTTATCTACCAAGAACAGTATAACCACTTTGATGGGATATTCCAATGGGTTAAACCAGAATCATTAAAATGCGGATATTTAAAACAAAAAATCCTTTTAAATAAATTAAATTCTTGCAATGCGCAAGATTCCTCGTGCTATCTTAGCAACGGTTTTGATTTAAACAACAATCATAAGGTTATTGAATTTAACACATTAGTAAAAAGCGTACCTTATCCAAGGCACATACCTGGAACGTTACCAGAAGAACTCAAAAAAAACTTGTTATTTCTTGGGGTAAAAAGTCCATGGCTATGGTTTACATCACAGTTTCTTGCTTACCTTCTGTTAAGGCCAAACTTGTCCTTTTACGAAACTTTATTTGCTTTAAAAAAAAAAATTAATTTTACTTCACCAATTGTTGGTTTTCATATTCGTCACGGGGATAAGTTAACTAGTCGTGAGGCAAAATATATTAATGAAAGTGAATTTGTAAAAGTTGCAAAAGAATATTTTAATGAAAACAAGATTAGTCACAAACGCATTTATACTGCAACGGACAATATTTCTGTAATCGACCAGGTTAAAAAATATGCTCCAGAATTTCAAACAACATGTTTACCACAAAATTACTTGTTAAATGGTTTAGGGTCTTATTTTCAGAAAAATTTTTCAAAGGAAATAATAGAAAGTACTTTAGTTGATTTATACTTACTTACTAACACTGAATACCATGTATGCGATATATCATCAAATTTATGCAGATTAGTTCACGAACTAAAGCAAGGGAGACCTCCATTTAAGCAAGATAACAAATTTAAATCAGTGAATAAAGAAGTACAGTTTTACTATCAGTGGTGGGGTTTTATATTTCCATCTTCATTGTGGATTACTACCAAAAAGAATACAGAGACAGATTATAAAAGTAAAGATGGCAAAGCTTTTCAATTATTAAAATACGGTAATGATTTATTTAGAATATTAGAAACGAATAAACAATCTTCTTCTGATTTTGTGTATGCTCAAAAACTTACTAACGTAACAAATAAAACAACCGGATATGTTTATAAAAATGATCTTATGGAATGGCCAGGGACACCAACTTATTACTATTTTCCATGATCCTTATTGATATTAGTTTATAATGTATTTTAATATTTTATGCAACAAATTTTGATATGTTTTATCATTTTAATATAGTAAATATTTAAGCATATTTGCATCCTTTTTTTAATGATGTTTAACTATTTATCTTTTTTTGATTACATTTTTTAAAAATGTAATTGAGAAAATATAAGTTGTATGAGAATAATGTGTGAGTTTTAAAGTTTATTGATGAATATATACTTGGTTAAAAATAGTAAAAAAATGTTTTATCAAATTGTTGCTCTCACGTTTGGGGCAGGAGTAGCTAAAATTTTAGGGCTTTTTCGTTCCCAGGCTCTAATCATTGCAATTTTTTGCAAAGCATCCTTATTTGATATAATTATAAATATATAAATGTTTAGAGATTACACCTGTCTGTCTGGAAGTTAAGTATCTTAAACATCAAAAAATGCTGCATTGCGCCTGAGATACTTAGAATAAAGTTCTTTTTATTATCAATAAAATAAACCAATCATGAAATTTTTTTTTACAATGTAGCGTTAATTGGTAAAATTCCATCTGGTGTTTACACTTATTCAAACAAATACTTAATGAAATAAAAAAAATTTAAATGTTCAAGATGTTTCAGAAATTGAGAACTTGACAGTTACAATTAAGAAACGTAAGATGATATTCAGAACATAATAGTTGTAATTAAGAAAAGTTTATAATTTAGATTCAGAACAAAGTGCTTTGTATTTTTAACTTTGTTGCTTTAATTTACCTTGTAAATTATAGTAGAACCTTAATTTGCCCAATGTAGTATTATGAGTTGGTTTTCAATAAATAATATTCTAAATATACTTTCAAAAAAAGAATATATAATAAAATAAAAAACTGGAAAAAAATAACTGGAAAAATCCTACCCGGTGATAGTTCAATTTTATTTTATTTTTACACATTTGTTGGTCATATTCTAAATATATATTGCCAAAAATAAAAATAACAAACTTCACAAGTTTTTGGTAAACTTTATAAAAAATATAAAACAAGTTATCTGAAAGAAGATCAAAAGATCTTTTCGTCAAAACTTTAAATAAGTCTGAGCAACGGCAGCGCACGCTTGCCTCAGATACTAGAATTCTGTGGTTCAACGCCATCTCTGGGCAAGTTTTATATTGGTAAAGAAGGAGGCGTGAAATTCTTTTCAAATGCTCTTCTGCGTTGCTCTGTGGTATGATCGTAAGAACATCTTGGGGCACTTTAGATTAAAACTAACAACAACAACAAAAATAGTTCAAATAAGCATTTAACAAAGTTCTAAGTCAAAATAGGCAAAACAGTTTTATCCTAAAGAAGTCGTGCCCAATAGGAAATACAAAGTTGAATAAAGTTCGTTTGACAAAAAGCATATTCAAATTTATAGTATATTAATACTGTTTTCAAATGAGGATGACTTGCAAATAGTTTAGGTAATTAGAGCAAACCCAACCCCCGTCCCGATGCCTAAATACCCCTTTTCCTAAAACTACGTCTCCTAAGATATAATTTTTTTTTTAAAGTTTTATCATAATTTAGACCAAAATTATTGACAAATTTAAAGTTTAATTAAAAACTTTCTTTTTGTTTAAGATTTATGCCCATAGTCTTTTTGTTTAAGATTTATGCCCATAGAGGTTTAACATTCCACAAATTTACCCCATGAAATAACTTTAAATGTTCATTACTTTTAAACTAGGAGTTTTTTTTGTAATAAAATTTGAAATCACTCGATATATTTAATTTAGTTTAATAAAACACAAAAAACGATTAGAAAAATTTGTTTTAGGAACCATACCCTAGAGGTGTTGGTGGAAGTGGTTTAGGATTGGAGATCTTCGTTAAGTTTGTTACTTTGATTTTGTTAAAATATTTTGCATTTGCAAAATATTTTAACAGGAAACGCAAAGATTTAAGATCTATAGATAATGATAAAAAAGCATGTATAAATCTAAATAAAAAGAAAAAAAACTATTCAAACCATATCAAAACAATATTCTGAAAAGATTATTCAGCTAATAACTTAGACTTTCCTAACATGCTTTACTCAAAATGTAAAAAAAAACTTGCTGGGACTGACCCTTACTTTACTATGCGACCGTGTTATAAAGGTAAAATATACATATTTATATATAATGCACTTTAGTTAAAATTTAGTTATGTTATTATGGGAACAATAGTCACAAGACAAACGCTATGAAATTTAGACCTGAATACCAGAGTTATCAGAGGCAGAAAATGTGAATGTTTTATATCTGAAAATGGGCGCGAACCAAAAATGAAGAAAATATGGGCCCCTGTGTTTGAATGTGTTTTGGGCAAACCTGTTTATAAAGGTGCCAAAGACGTTTTAAATAAACCTGAAAAAAGACTTATTTGTCCAAATTGCTACGCTCAAGTCTCACAAGGAGTTCCATATCCCTTTACGAAGTTAGAAAGACAAAAGAATTTGACGCCCATTGTAAGATCAACATCCCCTTCAACGAAAGGAAAATTTCTGTCCAGTCCTATTAAAGGCCTGACCACAGTTAAATCAGGAAACACTTTAGCTTTGAAAACTTGAAACTGTCAGAAAGATTAAGGTTAAAAAACCTTTCTTTTCTTTGGATAAGTTGAACGAACTTTAACTAAAACTACATACCAGGTAAGATTTTGATGCTTAAAATTTTTTTAAAATAATTTTATTATTAATAAGCCAGTTTTTTAAACAATTTTCTTATGACTTATAAGTAATCGCAGCATGATTGCAGAGCAGCTGATTGAAAAATTATTCGATGGTGATAAATTCTCATTATTACTAAGGGTAAATGAAAACAAAGAGGTTAATAATCTATTGCCTACAATTTTTTAAATAACTAGGTTCCAATCTGTATCATTCATTTTGAGTTTTTATTCATAAATAGTTGGTAGAAAAATACTCCTATAGTGTATTGCAACGACGTTGAAGAGCTTGTAGCAATGGAGCTTCATCACAGACATCAAGAAACAAATGATGTTTATATCAAATCCCAAATAAATTGAGAAAGTGTGACGGATATGCATTCAAATATTTCAAAGATATAAGCATACATAAAACTATTATATTGGCCATTTTGTCTTTATTGAACGAAAAATACGATAATCTGCGGATAATTTTGGATAAATTGAACATTTTTTCCTCAGATCACACATCACCTAAAGGTTTTGCTTCAAATAGTTGGGAAACAAACTGAAAAATCAAAGCACCCTTGTCAGTTTTGAATGAACTCATCTCCTAACTTTCAAAAAGCTGATCATTATTCTTTTAGAATCTTTGCGCAGATTATACAACCAATTCCAGCTAGCACACCCATACTGGACCCGTACGGTTTTAATCTGGGCATCCGGTACGGGCTAAATGAAAACAAAGAGGTTAATAACCTATTACCTAAATTTTTTTAAATAATTAGAAGCCGTGGCGCAGTGGTAGCCCACTTGCCTCAGAAACGTAAGATCCCTGGTTCAAACCCCACCTCTGGGCAAGTTTTGCGACATCGGTTGGGAAGGAGGCGTGAACTTCCTATTAAATGCTCTTCCGCGGTGCTCTGTGATAAGACCGTAAGAACTTCTTGGGGAACCTTAATCTACTTAAAAAAAAAAAAAAAAAAAAATCTGGTATTTTTTAATGGTATTTATCTGAGCCCTTTCTGGGATTTCCCGGATGCGTGCAACAACACTACCAAATTGTCTACCAAATCATTAGAATGTGCAAGCTAAATCAAGATTGGCTTGCACATTCTAATGATGATTCTGATAACGAAGAACTAAACCCAAACGAAAATAACTTAGATGAGGATCTAGGAAAATGGGCAGTCAGTTTTAAAATACCTCACAGTGCTTTAGTCAAATATTACCGGTTCTGAGAAAATATGGAGTATATTTGCCTAAAGATTCTAGATCACTTTTACACACAAAAAGGCATATTGAAACCAATTATGATGCAGGTGGTGAGTATTACTACATTGGATTGCAATTTCGGCTTTCTCTACTACTAAAAAAATCTCTTCTTTCAACAGATCTTTCAGTTTTTACTTTACATATCAATATCGATGGTGTTCCGCTGTTTAATAACTCAAGCATATTACTTTGGGCAATTCTAGGTTCTATTTTAGAGTTTGAACAGAGCGTGTTTCCGATCGCTTTATTTTCCAGTTCTTGTAAACCAAATTCTATCGATAAATATTTAATAGACTTTATTGATAAAATGGAACGTTTTCAAGAAGTTGGTGTTATCTGTGACAAGACTGGAAAGGCATACAAAATAAAATTAGAAGCAGTTATTTGTAATGCACCAGCTTGGTCATTTCTTAAATGCATTAAAACACATAATGGATACAATTGTTGTAAACGATGTATTCAACATGGTGAGTGGTGTCAAAAAATTGTTTTACCTAACTTATCTGCTCTACTTATGACTAATATAGACTTTTTAAATCGACATGATTCGGAGCACCATACTGCTACATCTCCTTTCACAAAGTTAAAATATAATATGGTAAGTGGATTTCGAATAGATTATATGCATTGCATTTGTTTGGGTGCTGTCCGAAGAGTTTTACACTTATGGATTTGTGGCCCACCATCATGTTGGTTGTTCCAAAGTATTGTTGCAGCACGGTCGTTTAGATGTGGAAAGTTATTATACGCAAGCGCAGTGTCAAATTCAAATATTATAATTTTAAAGATAGTGACGGCTTTTAGATACAAAAATTTTTCTGAGTAGCAACAACATCTTTAAAGTTTTACTTACTAGTTATTATTGGCATATTTTTGATAGAATGAAATAATAATAAAGATAATTAAATTGTTGATTCAAAAATTATAAAAACAATATAAAGATGTTTTAGTATATTAAAAACTGTGATTCTCTGCTACATTTATCTGACTGTTAAAAGCGTGATTTGTTTACATTTTTAAAACTCTTTTTCTAAAAATATGAGCGATACAATTTAATAATTTTTACTTTTTTATTTCGAATAGTCTTATCTTGATTTGAAATTGTTTTCAGATCTGAGTATTCAATTTTTTTCTGAACAAAAATAGAATTCACCCAACACGACTTGGGTAGATGCATGATACATTTATATTAATGTATATAGCTAAAAAATATGTATATACATAATTATATGTGAATTATAATGCAAAATAATTAAAAGTGATTATAATGCAATAAAAAAAAGGCTAAAAAGTTCACAAGTTACTTATAAAGTATGTCAGATAAAATATTTATATATAAGTTAAATATAAATTTATTATGCTACATAGTTTATATACTATGTGATTTGATTGCACTTAATTTTTTTAATTTTTAACATAAATCATAGTCATTTAACTACATATTATATACAATTTGTATTCAATAAATTTGTGTGCATATTATATTACAACACATACACCATTGGCCATTAATTAGAGCATACTTACTTATATATCCTGTTTGCTTAAAATTTTTTTAAAAACTAGTTAGCTTTTTAAATATTTTATTATTTCTCATTAATAAGTATCGTGTTTTTTATTTAATGGAAAAGTTGTTACCATAAAATTTCATTTGTATTCCTAATTATATGTAACTTTATAACATCGACTATGTTTTTTTAACTTTTTTTTGTTCGTCAAAAATTAATGCTTACTGCTTTATTTTAAAAATTAATGTAATAAATAAATGATTTTTTTTTATAATTTATTTTGATTTTCATTAGCATTTATTAACTCTAAATTTCTAACTTTGAAATAGTACTGATGAAAACACTAATAAATTAGATACTAAAAAAGCCTCACAACAAGTGAAGTAATACAGCATGAAACTCCAAAACCATGGTTGAGATTTTCTGAAAAAACATGTTGCTATCTCCGCGTCAAATAGCCAATAAGTTAAATATTGGATATTCAGTTGTTGCACATATTTGAAAACCTTATACTGAAACAGATGACATTATGGATCTGGATAATCTGGTGGGCAACACAATGAGATAAATATTTATTAATTTGCTTGATAACACACGACAGCAAGTGGGGAGAAGTTATATTCTCAGACAAAATGAATTTTGAGGTAGATATCCAAGAATATGTTATTGCTTCGTGTTCTGCTATGGAGATCACCTTAAGAGTAATTTGATTTGAATTGTACATGAAAACCAACCAAGCAAGGTAATGGCAGTGTAGACTTTGGGGCCTACATGAATTATGCAGGACTTAAACGCAATTGATTATTTGGAGGTTCACTAAATGCTGATAGAAACATTGAAACTTTAGATATTTGCCTTTTTTTTCTTTTGTAAATTAATGTTTTAATATATTATTTGAAATATATAATTAACTTTTGTCCAATTTTTTTTTTTTTTTTTTTTTTTTAATTAAAATAAAATGTTTCATTATTTTTTATTTTTTGGTATCTCAATCAATATGTTTAGATCTTTTTTTGGATTTTCATAATGCATATAGATTTTACTTATAATATTATAAAAATAAAATAAAAGTATTTTAGTTCTTGATTTAGTTTATTTTTAATTTAATGTTTTATAAAAATATCGTGACAAAAACAATGTGTGCTCTAATTTAAGGCTTAAATAGTCTTACCTACTCCAAATATATATATATATATATATATATATATATATATATATATATATATATATATATATATATATATATATATATATATATATATATATATATATATATATATATATATATATATATATATATATATATATATATATATATATATATATATATATATATATCCCAGCCGGCAAATAACGTTGAAATAACGTTGAAATATCGTTGAAACCTAACGTTGAATTAACGTTGGTTTAACGTTTAGAATGAAAGTTTTTTTCAACGTTGATTTATCAACGTTAAATCAACGTTACGTTCAAACGTTATATCAACGTTGATTCGACGCGAAAAAACGTTACAATAACGTTGAATTTACGTTGATTTAACGTTTAGAATGAAAGTTTTTTTCAACGTTGATTTATCAACGTTAAATCAACGTTAGATTCAAACGTTATATCAACGTTGATTCGACGCGAAAAAACGTTACAACAACGTTGAATTTACGTTGATACAACGTTTAAAATGATAGTTTTTTTAACGTTGATTTATCAACGTTAAACGACTGTAAAACACTTTTTCACCATCAAAACGTGCTATGTATGTCAAAATGTATATATGTATGAAAACGTGCTATGTGCGTCAAAATGTAATCACCATCAAAACGTACTATGCATGTACATTAGTGGTGCTGTACATTATCAAGGTATATTATGGATATTAAATCTATTCATAGTCTATACTTAGACTATTTAGAACTTTTTCAGTTTAGTTTAGTTAAAATAGCCAGGTATGATTAAAGAAAAAATAGCTAGGTATGATTAAAGAAAGAGATAAAACTTGTTTTATTCAAAAACACATATTCAAATATTACATATATTTACATGTAATTGAAAAAAATCTACACAAATTTCTTCTCTTTTTCACCACCTTTTTGAAATAAAGCGTAATTTAGAAAGTCAAACAACGTTCCATTAACCGAGGGTTCTTTTGGTCCATTGAATACAATATAAGAAGCTGTAAATAAAAAAATATATTAAAAAAAAAAAAAAAAAGGGAAGATTTAAAAAATAAATAATGAATTGAAAAGTGTTACAACTTATGAAGGTACATCTTTTTCAACGCCATATAGATTAGTGTTCATATTTTTCCATCTTTGCCCTTCATATCCATGGAGGCCTATACTTTTCGAAAATACTCTGAATTTTTAAAAAACAATATAACTGTTAGTTGGTTATTTTTAATATATTAAAAATAAATTAATAATCAAAATATAAAACATATCTAGCATAGAAAAATAATTTTCGGGGTGGCCACATAAAATTTTTATAAGAAATTTTATGTGGCCTTTTATTAATGGTTTAACGTCCATGTTTATACACTTATGGGGCTTGGACAGGGATCAAATAATGTTATTTATTATGTTAAATAGCATGCATTTTCTAAAGCATTTTTTTACAATTCCATGCACTTTAAGGCGTTAACCAGTTTTGCAGACTGAGAATGGGTATTTTGAACATTATACATCCATCAAAAATTAAAAAAGGAAGAATTAATGAGAAGCTTTGATCCAATTTTTACCTCTTTAGAGGATAATAGAGGATTTTAGAAGTGGTTTTAAAAAAAGAGGACTTTAGAGGATTTTAGAAGAGCTGCAGACACCCTGATTATAAATGAGGTAACTCCACCAATTAACTGTAATTGATTTATCTGTAAAAAAACATGAAGTAAATCTAATATTATGCTTGTGGAGATATATTATATTGTGGAGAACCATCCAAACCACACAAGTGGAAAATTTGCATCCAAGTTTCCACTTGTGTGCAAATCTTGCATCCACTTGTCAACATTCTCATTATAACATTTTTCTTTTGTAGTTGTGAATTTAAAATTTTCACAATACTGTTTGCTTTCTTTTAGAATTGAAATAGTTATACAAATAGTTATATATTTTGTATCAACAAAATAACTCTTCTTACCACATTATTTAAAAAATAATAATTGTAATATATAGATGTAATACCTGAAGAGACTTTAGTTTTTATTTTTATAAACTTAAGCCAATTCTTCTCTGCATTTTAGTGCAGTCAATGCTTTGGTACCTGGAAGCCGACAAACAGTTTTACCACTAATCCAATTAGATGGAATTACTTCTTCTTGTAAATCTTCATTCCAAACAGCTCCTTTCCGCATATTCGATTTTGAAAAAATTACATGAACTAATATAAAATGAAGAAACCATAATATAAGTGTACTAACAGGCCTAATTAAACTAGCTAAATTTGAACATTTTATAACCATGATACTTGCTAAACAATAATATTAGTAGACATTATAAGCAAAAATAAGATTTTCTTTATTTTATAAATTTATAATATTTTAAACTCATTTTTATTAATTTATTTATTACTCTATTATTCAGCAGAGTTCTGAATATATTATGTTCAAATAACTTAAGGCTCAATAACAATGACAAATAATGAAAGAATACTAGGTTGCTAAAACATAAACATCTACATAAGATAATTATGGAATATTGAAAAAAATTAGAAATACAAAAAAAAAAAAATACTCATTATTAATATAAAATATAATAGTATAATATAAGGTATATTATAATATATGACACAATAATATCTACTTTTAATTAAAATATAAAAACAACAAAAATTAAAAAAGAAAATATTTTGATAAATAATAAATTATCATTCAAACAATTTTCAAGACTAAAAAATAACTTGTAACTTATTTTTTTACTTATCTTCATCAAATAAAAATTACTTATTTTTTACTCATCTTCATCTAATAAACATTAATATTAATACCAATTTTAAACATTATTATAATTTTTTTTTTATCAAAAAATAAAAATATTACATCAGTTACTTTTTGGGCTTTTCTTATTTGACTTAAAACATCAACTCAATTCTAGGCTTTTTTCATAATTGAGTTTTAATTTGTAATGTTGAATTAACACTGAAAAAATATATATTAGCAGACAAAAAGAAAATATTTCTTTATTGAAATATATGTAAATATTTCAATA